CTGCTCATGTGTCCCTCTTCTCTTGTCTCACACTGTTGTGTGGTGGTTTCTGCCCCTGTGTCTTTGGTACAAACTCCTTGACCATTTAGGTGCCTAGATACGTCTTAGATTGAGAAATGTTCTTAACAGGAACGTAGGCTCTTGATACAAAATGCTGACGGGTGACTCTTGTCACCAGTAGGGTAGACAGGAGATGGACCAGCCAAGCACCTCTTACAGTGAGACAGGAATCCCAAGAGTGGAGGAAAGAGGCTGGCCTGCTGAGGGGCACCTGCCTCCCAGAGAAGCACAGAGCAAGAGCTTTTGTATAAAACTATCATCTAAAATTAGCGTTGAGTATATTTCTGAAAATGTGTATTCATGAAGTTATGGGCAGTTGTTGTTTTCATCGCTGCCTTGTGATATAGTGAATAGAGAACAGAAATAAGTAATTTGGGAGAGATCTGATCTGCATTCAGGACCCCTCCCCCCTCCCCCAGGAGCCCCTTACTCAGTCTCCTCATCTATAGATTGGAACAATGACACTGCTGGTGCCTTTTACCCGAGGGTTGTTAGGATGCTTACATTTGAGCTTTGAGGATTGTAGAAACGTCAGCCACACTTCTCAGGAAATGTCTTAACAAGAAATCTGTGATAAGAATGAAGGTGCTGCCTTGTAGTCTAAATGTGCCCTGATCTGATAGGAGCAGCATAAGTCACTAAGGGTGGGGGGAGACCTGAAATACAATGTAATGAAGCCCTAGGCATGTTTGATTTTATTAAGTCTGACTGAAAACCCAAGTTACTATATTTCTATTTTAGGCCCTACCTTCTTGCTTTTTGTGTTAGTTACATGTATCTACCTTTCTCCACAGATGAGCTATATGCAAAGGCAGCATTTAGCACCCATAAGCTAATGATTTCTCTTTCAGAAGGACAATAGGGCCTGCCTTCTGTGCAGTTTTTGCCAGTGAGGCTATAATTGGAAAGACCTGAGCCTGAGTCAGGACTCTGGCTAACCACACTCCATCTGTAGCCTCTGGTCTCTCATTTACAGTTGAGGAAGATAGTACGTTAGTTACTTTTAACATTAATACCCACTACTTGGAGGGTTTTTTCAAAAACAATTTTAAAAATTGTAAACTGTAAAGTGCAGACACATGATGGCAGCTCCCATTTTTATAGGGAGCATCTGAGCCAACCTCTCCAGCATCTGTGTTAACAGGCTTTTTTAATGCACCGCCGTTTAAGCTTACAGGGTATGTTTTCTGTTTCTGCTCATTTCTGTAGGTATTTATTTTTTAGCTCTTCTTGTCTTAAAGCTGAAGTAAATATTAAAAGTTCCTGCCAAATCATTACTGAATGGTATCAGAAGACAAACGGTTTCGCATGCAATAGCAGAGCCATTCGCTGGTTCAGTTTCATTTTCCAAATGGTTTATGGAATGAGTGGTGGCCTCCATCTTGGCTCTGACATGGACTGGCTGTATGACCCTGGGCAAGTCTTATATCCTCTCTGAACTTGAGTGTCCTCATCTGCAGAATGGGGCTAACTTGACTAAGTTCTCCAGGATGGTTGTGGAGAAAGGGTTCAGTAAACCTCAAAGTGCTTCAGAAACATAATGAGGATGATGAGAACCTGCAGAGCAGTCATTTATATATGTCATCATCTTGGAAATAGAAGAGCACCAGGGTTGCTTTTGCTCAGAATGTTCCTGGCAGGAGAAAGGTGTTCTTCATCTTTTTCTTTTGGACCCTTTGGATGGTGGGCTGGTGAAGCCCAGGGTCCCTTCTCAGAATAATGTTTTTAAATACATAAAGTAAAATACATAGGATTACAAAGGGAACATTTCTATTGAAATACAGTCATCAAACTGTTGAAAAAAACAAGTTAATGAACCCCAGGTTAAGAGCCCCCAGGCTAGATGAAACTCACTTGGATTGAATTTTGCTTTCAGTATACCATATACTTTGGAAGTAAATTTTGTTAGTTTAGTTGATAGGCTAATGAGAAAAAATGTATTTCACCTGTACTAAGTAATCCTGTCTTTCATCCTCACCTCATCCCTGTTTTGGCTCAGTGACAGAACAAGAACCTCCAGCTTTGGGCTCCAGGCCTGTTGCCCAGCTGTCACCCACCCTGTGCCTGGATGCTTTCCCTCTGTCATCTCTGCCTCCTGCCCTAGTTGGCTTCCTTCAAGGCCCAGCTAAAATGCCACCTTCAACAGGGAGCTTTTCTGGATCCCCTTGAATTTGGTGTCTTCCCTCAGTTGATTATTCCCAGTTTGTCTCCTCCATAACTTGTTTATGGATAATTGTTTGCACCTTAGCACCCTCGTTAGACTGGTTTCTTGGAGCAAGGGTTGTCTTTTGTCTTTCTTTGTATCCCCAGTGCTCAGTCTATGGCTCACAGTAAACACTTGAAAGGGTGCAAGCTCGGCTGTCCCACAGCTTAGCCCCCAGGGAAAGACAGATCCTTGTGTGGCTGTTTACTCCTCGTGTTCTGCTGAGGGCCTTTCTGGGAGCCGTGTCTGTCACTGCCCTGCTTAGCTCTGTCACCCGAAGGGCTTAGCAGATCCTGATGTGGGAGCTTCTGTTGACAGGTATGCTGAACCTAACAGGACTCATGTGGAGAGTACACAGGGGCTGAAGGCAGAGCTTTTCTTTGTAAATGTCTTTGTCTTCTGGGGGCTCTGTTTCCCTGTTAGTGAAATCTTTGAACATGAAAGCTGTTTAGAAACTGTCTTATTTGCTGTAGCACGGCCAGATGGATGTTGAATACATACTGTTCAGTACGGAGACTATCTAGTCAGTAAGTAGGAAGCGCCTGCTGGGTACTTGCATGGTGTAAGGTATATGGCCCCGCTGCTCCTTCCCTCCCCAGATCACCTTGCTGTGTTTGATATTCACTTAGACTCTGTACTTGTTGTTTCTCTCATTGACTATAAGCCCCTTGAGGGCAGGGATTGTCTTATTTTAGTCTTTGTGTCTCCAACACCTGGCATAGCCTTTGACAAGGATTTGTTGATTTAGTGAAGTGAGAGCCAAGTTAAGGGTTGGAATAATAAGTCAAGACAAAGAGCTAAAATCTTTGTTTCATCAGGAGTATAACGGTATTAAAGAAGTGAGTGAGGACTGCTGAGAAGTTTTCTACTTTGGAGGGTGCTTAAGACTTGGTGAAAGAGCTCGGTGTGTCCAGTGGTTTTTGGGAGCCCCAGGATCAGAGATGTGATCCAACTGCCCAAGTGAACAGAACCATCCTATGGCCCCATTTAAAAACTTACTGGAAGGATTGGCGTTGGAGGTAGGATGGGAAGCCAGTGACATGATGTTAATCACGTAGTTTAATGCAGAGAACATCAAGTCACTTCTTTCCCTTCCCTTGGCCTCTGGGTTGAATAATTCCTGGAAGCTTTCCTACTTTGAATAGCATTCTTCTTCCTTGTAGGCAGCCTAGAGACGGGAGGTGATTCTGACTTGGTGTCATCAACCCAGTTAAGGCGGTGGTGGTGGTGGGGGGGATATGTATGAATGTATGTGTGTATATATGTACATATATGTATATACATACACGTACGTGCTGCCTCCTCTTTGGCAAGGAGGGGAATCCAAATTCAGATTTATGTCACTTGGAACAGGGCAAAATGCATAACACTTAAAATGTTTTAAGGCTGACAACATGGATATTGCGGGTTTGTTTAAGGAAGATCAGCTTAAAATATGTGCACTGTGGAATTATAGGGAGGGCAAATTAGGGTTATTCATTAATATCAGTGTATCTGTTTTCTCCTTGGTATTCTTTATTAGAACAGGTGTCCAAAAATGCTTCGTAAGCCTCACGTGCATTTATAATTACAACAAACCTTTTTTGCATAATAATCACAAATGACTTTTATTTTCTATAGATACATAGATAGCTATACACACACACACACACACACACATATATACATATATACACAGAGAATGCATCCTTGACAAATGATGAAGGAACTTCTTGAGATAGTTACTTGAATATTCTGTGCTTATGACTTTGGGTGCTTCTCGATTTGATTTTTTTAATATTCATTTTAAAATTTTGAGTTCAGAATTCTTTCCCTCTCCAGTATCTACTCCACCCATTGAGAAGGCAAGTAACACTCACCATACATGTGAAATTGTGCAAAATGTATTTCCATATTAGCCAGATTGCAAGACAAATAAAAAAGAGAGAGGAAAGAAGAGTGAAGAAAGGGGGGAAAATATGCTTCAGTTTGCATTCAGGAGTTCATCAGGTCTCTCTCTGGAAGTGGCTGGCATTTTACTCACGAGTCTTCTGGAACAGTTAGAGATCATTGTATTGATCAGAGTAGCTAAGTCTTTCACAGTTGATAATCTTTACAATATTGCTATGACTATACAGTGTTCTCCTGGTTCTGCTTCCTTCATTTTGCATCAGTTCATATGGGTCTTCTCAGGTTTTTCTGAACCCATCCTTGTCATTTCTTATAGCATAATAGTATTCCATTACATTCATATACTACAGTTTGTCCAGCCATACCTCAAGTTGATGAGCATCCCCTCAATTCCCAATACTTTGCCACCACAAAAAGAGCTGCTATAAATATTTTTGTCTATATAAGACCTTTCCTCTTTATCTTGATCCCTTTGAGGTTCACACCACTGTAGTGGTGGTATTGCTAGGTCAAAGGGTATGCGCGTTTTTATAGTCCTTTGGGCATAGTTTTGAGTTATTCTCCATAACAGTTGGACCATGACAAACAATTTTTAAGGTGCTGTGCGATGCACTGAGAATACAGAGGGAGAAACGAGCTAGTCCCTGTCCTCAAGGAGCTGCCAGGGGAGGTGGAGAGGAATGTAGCATGGACTCATCATTTTGGTGCGAGCTAAGGAGGAAGAGAGAGAGAGAGAGAACACTGGATGTAAGGAAAATATATACAACATTTTAGTGTAATTTGAACATCTTGATATTTTGTCCTCATAGAAATTTAGGTGTTTTCTCCCCTCCCCTCTTTCTTTTAGTGATCTCTCTACTCCTTGCTGTTGAATCATGGGGGAAATTGAAGGAACTTATAGAGTCCTGGAGACTCCAGGAAGCCGACTGGGGGACCTGAATCACACTGGGGTCAGCACCCTGGAGCCAGGGCAAAGCCTGTCCTCAGCCATGGCGAAGACGTCTGCCAAACTGCAAGAGAAGGACCTTGCTATCAAAGTCAAGTTGCTGGACAATGCGATTGAGATACTCCATGTGGAGGTGAGAGTGGCTGGGGGGTGGGTGTTGGTGGTGAGGGGGTGCTGCTTTCCTACTTGCTTAGGAGTTTACAGTCTTAGTTGTTGCTGAACGGGAAGAGTGACCTTTGGTGATACAGAAGTGAAAGGGCCTGGAAGCAGAGCCTTCTCAACTCGGAAGGATAGACCTAGAAGCGCCTTTCCTGCCCTCTTCTCTGGTTTTCCAGTTCTTTATCCTAACTCTTTGATCATATGTCACCAGAATGCTACAGGACTAAAGGATAGAATTCTGCTAGGTGCATCAGCAGCCTCTGGGTGCTCAGCTTGGGGCGGATGTCAGCTGGCTGCTCCCTGCATCACCAGAGATGGTCATAGATCCCAGAGGGTTGAAAGAGGAAATTATTTTTCTTGTTCGTTGAATACTGTCACAGCTGAACGAGGGTACTGTTCTTTTCCTCCCATTTTCTTGTCTTCATGTCTTCAGTCATGGGGACAGATGAACCAGGGACATGAGTGGAACTCTGAAGAAGTTTTACCTCTAGGAGCTTGTCTGGAGGAGGAAAGAGAAGGCCTCATGGGACTGTAGAAGGGACTTGGAAGAGTAGGAATGGCCCTGGAAAGTGCTGCTGCTCCCTCAGGGTCTGGGATGCAGCCTCAGGAGAGGGGACACTTCTAGAGTCACTCCTGAGGCTTCTCCCGTGAATTCATCTCATGGAGACCGTTGAGTCGTTGAAAGGCCTTCTTGCCTTTGGCTGGCTTTAGAGCTGTTAGAGCAAGGGCTGGGGATGTGCTCTTTTATGCTGGGAAAACGGATTTGAACTGATAATCAAGCCTCATTCAGCTATTGTAAAGGGAATTGGGCTTACCAGGAACTGCCTTACATATGGGAGCTATGAGCATTAGCAAAAAAGGAAAAAGCCACTGAGAACAGGCAATCCCCTTTAAACAACTGGCACAGTGCCCTTTGAAGGGGGACTGCTTGCTGTTTCCAAAATGCTTTGAGAGACCCAGAGTGCTGGGAGTGGATGGAATGCTGGCACAAAGATCAGGGTTCGAAGCTTGCTTCTGGCCCTCTGGGGAATCTGTGAAATGAGGGTAGGAGTGCTGGGTGACTCAGTGCTCAGAGTGATGGTGGTGGTGGTGGTGGTGGTGGTGGTGGAGGTGGTAGAGCTAAAGTGAAGTCATGGACACAAAGCCCTTTGTACAGGACACCGTGAGGCCCTGTTGGCTCTATCTGAAACCGGCTCCAGGTCTCCTTGCATCCCCAGAGCTGCTTTTGCCTACATCCAGACAGTCCTGACAAACAGCACTGAATTGAAAGTCAAAAAAGCTGGGTTCAGATGCTGGCACGGGGTGACCTGAGGCAAGTCTCTTCTCATACCTGGGCTGGAAATGAGGGGATTGGACCGGCTGTGTCTGAGAGCCCTTCTGGCTCAAGATGTCTGTGACCTTAAGCACCATCCTACAGTTAGTATGTTTGCTTTGTATTCTAGCAGATGAGGTAACCTTCCTGGTTTGGTTTTGTATTATGTGACCTTATTACTTGCAGGTTAAGTCTGGCTTTTCTTCTCTTGTTCACCTCTAATTAATGAAAACTCTTAGTAGGAAGAGGGGAAAAGTCCAGTTGTGGGTTATCTAAGATGATAAGCAATCTAGAATTCTCCAGAGAGACTCCCTTGGCTTGTGTTGTGACTTATCTGTGGCTGGAGTGATGCCATGAGAGGTGATGTTACTGTGCCCATTTCCAAATACATAGAGACCTTGTTGGGCTTCAGAATTTATCACCTCTGTTCATCAAACTTCAGGGTAATTTAGTTTTTTCATGTAAATGGAAAAGTTTGGCAGAAACTCAGGAATTTCATCTAACCAAGTTAGCTCTTTGATGCTTTGCTTGATAGCTAAATTACCCACGTTTTTACCTCTTGCAAACACGTAGATTCCAAATTCCTGAACTCAGCTGCCTCCTGCCTCCTTACTTTACTCTCAGTTTCCTTGTTGACCTGAGAAGGGCCACTCGCCTGGCAGGGTGTGTCAGCAAGTGGTGCGTTCAGCCTTTTGTCAGATCTGCTCTTCTCTCAGACCTCTGCCAGAAGCCCACTTGGGTCCGTCCTTGCCCTTGGAATGGAGGGACTTCTTCTGTCATTCTGGACACTTGAGGCTTTGCTCTGGAGAACCTGGTGTGTTGAAGTCTGTGTCCAAACAGCGATGACAGTTGATTATTGTATATTCCTATTCAAAATGGAAAAGGCGGTTTTTCCTTACAGGCCTTTAAAGTGCCTTTTATTTGGAGTAGTTAAGAAGAATTTGCCCCAGTTCCCAATTATTTTTTTCTTAACAAAATATAGAACAATTTAATGAAATAGAGTCCCATTCATCATTCGTGGTTGATGTATATCAATGTAATACAAATGACAACATTATTGAATTTGATTTACACCAATTCCCAATTATTGCAAAAGGGTTAGGTAATAAAGCACTTTGCAAACCTTAAAAGGCCTCCTCAGTTTTGTTGTGACTCTCCATGAAGCAGCAGATGTTTGATGTGTCTGCGCCCTGGGAGCGTGGGCTCCGTTTAGCTGGCGCCTTCCATATGCTGGCGGACATCAAAAAGAAGACCTTTGTTGTCTTCATAGAGAAGCCAACAATGAGAACAGAAATTGTGCACAAAATTGAAATGTTGACCGAGAAGCTTGATAAAGTTTTCAAAGGTAAATAATTCAGTTTAGTGAGTGTTTGGATGCTTGCTCTGGACAAGGCACTTAGGGCCCCAGAGGAAATGGTCCCTGTTCCCCTGTTCCGTTTTATGGAAAGAGCCTGGCTCTGCACGCAGAGTATCTGCTTCACCCCACTTTGGCATGTACTTGGTGATCGTGGGCAGGTCCTTCACCTTCTCTTGGCCACAGTTTCTTTGTCTGTGAAATGAGGCCGTTGGAGCAGATGCTCCCAAAGGTCCCATCCATTTCCCGACCTCTGATGCTAGGCTCCATCCTCTTACATGCATTAGCTTTGTGACCCTACTGCAGTATCCTTCAGGATCTCTTCCTGCCATATCTGTGGTCCTAAGTAAACTGAGGATGGTTGGGGGTTTGCTTTTAGTAAACACCTAACCTAATCCATTATTGCCATGTTGTTGTTCAGTCATTTTCAATTATGTCCAACTTTTTGTGACCCTATTTGAGGTTTTTTTTGGCAGAGATACTGGAATGGTTTGCCATTTCCTTGTCCAGCTCATTTTATAGATGAGGAAACTGAGGCAGACAGGGTTGAGAGACTTGCCCAGGAGCCACAGCTAGTAAATGTGTGAGGCCAGACTTGAGCTCAGGAAGAGGAGTGTTCCTGACTCCAGGCCTGACACTGTGCACTGTGCCACCCAGCTGCCCCTATTGCCTTGCACATATCAGCTTGTTTGGAGTCTAATACTTTGAAAGAGTCAGGGTTCTTGTACTGTCCTCTTTTTTCACTTTCCCTCATTCATTAATTTTGAAAGGTGAGACTGGGGAGGAATTTCAAAGTTAGTCTGTTATGGGAGTCAGCCTGACATCATTGGAATCATGCTGATTTGGGAGTCTGGAGAGACAGGCTGCATCTGACCTGCATTTGATGGTTTCTTGCTGTGTGTGTGTCCTTGGACAAGTCAGTTAACTTCTCTGAGCCTTCATTTTTTTAACTGTCAGTCACTCAGTAAGCATTTATTGTGCACCTACTCTATGCAGGCATTGTGGATATAAAAAATGGTAAAAGACAGTAGTCCCTTACCTCAAAGAGCTCATTATCACAAGAAGACAACATGCAAAAAGCTACGTAACAAATGAGAAATAGGAATCAATGGAGAGAAGACACCAGAACTAAGAGGGATTGAAGGGGAATTAAGAGAGAAAGACTTCCTCTAGCCTGTGGGATTTTAACTGGAATTTGAAGGAAGCCAGGAGGTAGAGATGAGGAGAAAGAGCATTCTAGGCATGAGAAACAGCTGGAGAGTCTCAACAAGGAGTCCAGTATCTGTGGATCAGAGAGTATGAGAGGATGAGAGGTTGTTTATAAGGTGTAGGAAGACTGGGGACTCCAGGTTATACAGGGCTTGGCAGGCCAACCAGGTGATAGGGAGCTGGAGTTTATTGAGTGCTGGGGGTTGGAGGGGGCTACATGGTTGGTCCTGGGCTTTAGGAAACTCATTTTGAAAAAGTGATTTTGGTGATAATAATACTGGAGTATCAACCTGTCATATTGTCGTTATTATAAGGTTGAAATGAGAGATAAATGTGATATACTTTGCAAATCTGAAGGTGCTTTGTAAATATCAATTCTTGTTAGCATCTTCACCACTTCTGAATAAGCAATTTATCAAAGCTTTTTTAAAGTATATTTTTCATTTGAAAATTTTCAATTAGAAACTTTCTCTTGGTATTATATCTTTTAAGCCTCTATATCTTATTTGTAAATGTTATAGTTAGCTACCCAGGACTTTGTGACCACCTGTAATTTTTAAACATGTATTTATTGAATCTGAGGATTAACCAGGGTTTTGTGAGGTCACAGAATAAGAGAAACAATTTATGATGCTTGGTGGTAGTTGGGAGTTGCATTAGGTGACTTTTTTTTTCTTATGTGGGGGTATATTTATTCTAATGGAATACGACATGTATATGGTCTGAAGAAAACAAGGCCAGGGACGTCAGTGGGTTGGAATGTTCCCTGAAGCTGGATTTGTGGCTGTGTCTTGATTTTACCTTGACCTTAAATGAAGTTTGAAATGGCTGGGTGCAGTTTTTAGCTATTTGTGGTCAGGGGCGGTTGTTGGCACTAATAAAGCTTGATTTGTATACCCTTGACTGAATTCTGTGGTTTTGAAATCAGGAAACTGGCTCCAGATCTTGAAAGTATTTTTTCAGAGTCATAAAGGAAGTAATTTGGAAGCTTGTATATCAGGTTGTGATTTCCTGTGGTGGTTTTAAGATATGCATTAGTAATGCTTTGAGTTTGAAGCCACAGTCAGATGTGAAAAAGAGACCCAACACTATCCCTAAA